CGACGTTTGCCGACCGGGCGTCCTTGGGATAAATTGTTTAGATCTACCTGTGCTGTTGGATACTACTAGGATAGTAGAACTAGTTCTAACGGCCGTAGCAGCAATACCAAAGGTTATCGTACTCATCGAATGCTTCTGACAACTAGGCACACAACATGCTTTTTTTTCCCTACTTAAGCTGATAGCCTTGTGATGCTATTTCAGCGTAACCTTAACTAGTAGGTGAGCTCACGGAGCTCAAGCCTGACGACGTTGCTAATACGAAGCCTGCAAGAGCCGTGCTTCGCAGAATCTTTTCCCTTCAAAACGTATAAATCTTTCGCCTTTTACAACATGCTAGTGACAGCTAGGCACGTAGCATCAACCCGCTGATATTTTCGCCTGATTTTCATAGCGGATAGCGATTTTCATCTAGTAGATGATGCACTTGAAAAGCAGATGCCATTGAGCTATATAACTACCTTTGCGGTCTGGTGATTAAGCACAAACCTCCTCCTCCATCAAACTTAGTGAGCCTTCGAATTGGTCCGTTGATTCTAGGGAAGCTTTAACAGCATTCTCATAACCAACATCACAAAAGAGAAGTTCAAGTCGTGCATGATACGTCTGCCCCTGAAAAGGAACCTAGCTCATCTATCTTCTATCGTTAATATATATAAATAAAAATAACATTTGTGTTTCCTTTGGTGCGTCTCCCGTCGTACAGATTCCTTTTGTTTGTTTTAAGTTTATTTTATACATAAGTTTAGGTCTTTTATTTATCGATTGAGGCACTACGAAGTCTGCCGGGTCAGCTAGTTCTCAAATAAAACAATATTTAAACACAATTTCTTGGTGTTGATTTCACCTTTCTTTTATGAATAATTACAGAAAACAAACCGGGTAAAGTCATTAAAAAAAATCTATATTCGAAACCGATGACTTCGCAAAGTTTTTGTTTATAAAACTTATATTTTTAGTAGTTTCGTTTACAAAAAAAAAAAAGCGAACATCTTCCACGTGTCATGTGATTGGATGACCGACAAGTGTACTTGCAAACGAGCGGAACGTCTTCAACTAATAAATGTGACATCATAATATCATCACAAAACTTTTACTTCATTTAATATACTCTCTTTGTGCATTTTGTTTAATTATTCCTTTTCTATGAAACCGCGGATATAATTACGTGCTGATTTGACACATTATATACTTAAGTAGTTCTTTGTTGTTGACACTTTAAGGAAGTTTTCTGACAATGTACCCATACATGTACGGGTTTCAAGGTGTCTTTAATTTAAAATCTCTGTTAAAAAACTTGAGGCCGGATATCTGACAGGTATTATTATTATTATTATAAATTATTATGTTAAACAACATAATAATTTGCTTTTAGAAGGTTAAGTAATCGCTTAGAGTTAGCTGGAGGGGTGGGTTTGCTCATTAGTCAAATAAATGGTTATGATTTTTTTGAAATTCATGTAACGACGTGAGTAGATTTATACCATAAATTTCCTTGTGAAGAGTGATCAAGGTAAAATGTGGTAGACTGCTTCATTTTCATTGTTTGAAATGCTCAAACAACATTATTCTGTAGTTTGAAATTGAGTAACACAGATAATTAGCAATGAGAGTGAACTTGGCCGTGTGAACTCGCCAACACAGGTGGAAAACATTAAAAACTCGTGCCAAAAATATTACAAAAAAAACACTGCGGCTAATCTAGACTTTCTCGACAATACAATTAGACGGTTGTGAAAAAAAATTGCGTGTTAACATTTACATATTCTTTTCATGGACTAATGACATTGGCAATGTGCCTATTTCATGGACGAAAAGGATGCGGATCCTCTGGCATTTATTTCTCTGGTGAGTAATAATATTTCTTGTGTGAAAATCAAGCAGCTTTCGGATTAAAGTTTAATTTTTACTCTATTCAATATTATATTTTTTTTACGATTTATTTTCGCGTTCAGTGTTATTTTGTACTATGACCGGTCAGTAGTCCCTCGTAACCACGAAAACTGAGAAGTATTCGAAACATGTTTTTTTTTATTCAATTTTTTTTATTTCGCTCATGTAATTATATTTCTTAAAGTCAGATAACGTTTTATTCGTTTTGTGATCAGAGGGCGTCACTAGTTGATTCCAAACGTCACTGTCAAACTGACATTACGTTTTCCCGCCCACCGCGCCAGTGATTGACAAGCGCGAATACACGCACAAAGGAATACGGAAAACCATAAATGATCTGGCAGCGCTGTGATGCGGAAGAACGCTAGACTATTCCGAGAGCTCAATGCCACGGGGCCAACAGCATCTCAATGATGATGTTACTACATCGTTCTAATTACACGCACGTGTATTTGCGATGCACGATTTAAAACTCCGTACGATATAGTTATAATAGGATTATAGAATAATACTGGAGTAAGAATGCGGTCTTTCATTTATGAAAATTAGGATTTCCCGTTGTCTCAAATTTTTCATTTCAAATAATAAATAGGCCTTTATAAGTAAAAATAAGAGTAATTATGGAATAAGAGTTCCGTCGCGGTAACTTTTTTTTCCTTCTACATAAGCTGATAGCCTTGAGAGGCTATATCAGCTTCGCCCTAACGTGTAGGTGAGCTCACGGGGCTCAAACAGGAGTGTTGCTAACACTGGCCCTAGCAAGAGCAGTGCTTCGCAGAATCTACCACCGGATCGGTAACGCGACCCACTGAGAAAATCCGGCGAGAAACTCAGTGGGCTGTGTCTATGGGTTAATTCGCTCGTCGAGCCCTTCGTTGCAAGCGACGGGTTCGACGAGGACGGGACTGGTGCTTGTGGTACCTAAAAGCACCGTTAATGGATCGGGAGGATCCGTAATGACGTGTTTTGGGCGACGTCGACTGTTTACCATTCGGTCTACAGGATCGGGTATAGCGCGGTAACAATGCCACAAAAACTGCTCACACTATTAATGACGCTACAAACGAGCGCACGACACGATATTGGCTTAAATCCTTCCGATATGGAAAATTTGATTTAAAAATGAGCCCAATGGTCGCTCTAATTAAAGGCGATAGTGGAAGCTGACGACATTCGATCTACAGCTGAGCTAGCAAGCGACTTTCAACGTTATAATCAAGACAATATGGACCAACGTATGGATTAAATTGGCAAAAAAAAAATTGTATAAGTGGGTGCAGCACGTACTGACAGATCGTCAGCGCGACGAACGCGTTTAGGCCGTGTATTGCTTAACAGACACAAAAACGAAGGCATTTTGTTTGTTGTATTGTCAGTTTCGATAAAAAATGGATTCTTTTTTATAATCGTAAGCAGCCATCATCTGGTTAGACCTTGGTTTAGTATTTAGACAACGCGCAAACGAAAACTAACCACTAAAAATTCATGACCACTGTTTAGTTTTTCAAATGATATACATTCTTCACAGCTTCTAACCTTTTTTTTTATTGCTTACATGGGTGGACGTGCTCACAGCCCATCTGATGTTAAGTGGTTACTGGAGCCCTTAGACATCTATAACGTAAATGCGCCACCCACCTTCAGATATAAGTTCTAAGGTCTCAGTATAGTTACAACGGCTGCCCCGCGCTTCAAACCGAAACGCATTTACTGCTTCACGGCAGAAATAGGCGGGGTAGTGGTACCTACCCGTAGGGACTCACAAGAGGTCCTACCACCAGTAATAAAATAGCATTAGCATTCCTGCGAATGTGAACGGTGACGAACTGGACGCAATGATGGAGAAGCTTCCGAATCTCCGGCCAGCCTTGGTTAATAGCTCGTTCCCGCTCTTCCCGCTGCTCCTACATGACAACGCTCGACAAACGACCCAAGAGAAGTACACTAAGCTATCATCGTGCTGACTAGACCTTGTGTCGATAGACATTTAGTTTGAAAAACATCTTGGAATGAAAAAATTTGATACCCGAGAGGCAGTACAAAATGCCTCTAAAAAGTTGGACTCCCGTACAGCTGACTGCTTCAACAAGGGCATTGAATATTCCCACGACCCTGGCAGAAACGCATCGATAAAATCGGTGCATATTTTAATTGATAGAAATAAAATAAAATAGTTTAAAAAATCTAACAAAATACTCCTTTATAGAAAATCCAACTAAAAATAGAAAATAAATTTTAATATCATCATCGTCATCATCAACAGCCCACAGTCGTCCACTGCTGGACATAGGCCTCTCCCAAAATACACCACTGAGCCCGGTCTACGGCTCTCCTCATCCACTTCTTGGCGGCCACCGTTCGGAGGTCATCGCACCACCTAGCCAGGGGGCGTCCCAAATTACGTCTTCCGCTGCGCAGTCGAGAACCCGTTTGCTCCAACGATCGTCAGTCCTACGGCATATATGGCCAACCCACTGCCACTTCATCTTGCTAACTCTGAGAGTCAGGAAATTTTAATAAATTTGAATTAAAAATAGAGTAAGAAAAAATTTATTTTATTTAAAAAAAAAGCGTCTAGCCTTAGCCTTGATTTTGGCTTGATATTGGAAACTAAAGTATTAAAGACGGTCATTTACGATGTGCAATGATGTCATGAACGAGCTCACTGGCCGCCTGGTGGTGTTTGCCAAAACCCACGTCACGAAGTAAACGCCGCCGTCCGCCTTGATACATCAGTGTGCTTAGTGTGAGTTTTTTAACGTTCTCGATAGCGTAAAAGTTAACTCAAATTCCGAACGAGCTCATGGCCCTCCTGGTGTTAAATGGTTTCCGGGCCCTTAAACATCAACAACTTAAATGCCACCATCCACTTTGAGCTCTAATTCTCAGTTCTGTAGTACAACGGCTGTCGTGCCTTTCCGGTAACGCATTACTGCGTCGCGGTAGAAAATAGACAGCGTCGTGGTGCGTGTCGTGAGGGCTCACAAGACGCCCTACCCCCAGTTCAAAGTCAAGATGTTGTTTCGCGGACAAAACTGATCTTTGACGACTTAGTGACTTACTTAGACGAAAATGAAACAAAAATTTCAATTAAAAAAAAACGCAGATTCATTTATTTTTGGTCCCGTTACACAATTTTCATCGAAAAGTTACAATCGATACATAAGATTATATTTAAAACTATTTTTCTTAATTAAATCGATATCACATTACAAACTAAATAATATATAGTTAACAAAGGATTAGATAATTATCGTATAATGACTTTTACGACAGCATCTGCGACCACGAAGTAAATAATGTGTAACCAATACAAAATTTGGATTAAAACGTAAAACTAATTTTAATTAATTTTACTTATTTAAATTAATAATCGCGGAAACCGAAGAAAGTACTAGAGATTAAGATATAACTTTCTAATTTGGAGCAAATTTTCAAAAAACAGTTTTTACAGCTGGAGATCAACCATGCAACATAGAATCATTAATTACTGTAATTTGTCTCTACTTCGCACAAGCGTACAACCTCTTATTANTAAAACGTAAAACTAATTTTAATTAATTTTACTTATTTAAATTAATAATCGCGGAAACCGAAGAAAGTACTAGAGATTAAGATATAACTTTCTAATTTGGAGCAAATTTTCAAAAAACAGTTTTTACAGCTGGAGATCAACCATGCAACATAGAATCATTAATTACTGTAATTTGTCTCTACTTCGCACAAGCGTACAACCTCTTATTAATACATTGTCGATACGCTTTTTCTCCCGAGAATTAATGCTTCTTATAACAGAAGAAACTTACTGTTTCTTTAATAAAAAAGTTTTAAAAATTTTCGAAATATGAATCCAAGATAAAAACTTTAACACGGAGTAGCATAACGCGGTACATATTTATAATATCAATATTATAACATTTTAATGTGTTAACATATTTTCATAATTTAAAACGATAATAATAACTATTTCATTTCTACCTTACGAGTATAGCTAAGTTCAGACAAGTACAGATTCTGAGCGTTCCTAAAATATTTAGGCTTTATAAGTGCATAGTGCATGATATTTAAAGCAACAATAACATTTTCATTTTCACAACAGCCGTGTTTTCTTCAATTCAAAGTATGTGTCCGATAGAAATTTTTACAGCACATTCAATCCATTCACTCATCAATCTTCCTTCACTCGTTCATTTTAAAACCATTCCACCATTCAAAGCTCATTCATTCGCTCAGTCTTATATTACTTCCCGCGCAAATCACAGCTCTCATTTTCGCAATTCGAATATGTATTTAAATAACGCGTTCCATAGATAGTTTTTTTTTTTGAGTTTATGGCCTATCTAGACCTTTAAGCCATATTCCATAGATAGTTATAAGGTAATACCGGAACTAAAATGTCACAAAAAATTCATGAAGCCTCTTTGGGATGACATAATTGAATTCCGTTATAACCTTACAATATATTCTGCATGCGTTAATGATATCCTTTTGATATTTCAGCATTTTTCGATAGGTCCGTATCGTTGCCTGAACCATGTCATTCCGCTGTAATCAGGCTCGTATACATCAGGGATCTCTTTGTCGATGGCTTCGCAATAAACCATCTTGACTGTTGCTTCGCTGAACAGTCTTTCTTCGAATTTGATGAGCTGCTTGAAGAAACCCGTGTTCGGTCGAATTTGTGGTCTAGGAGACAAGAAATGAGTTAATTGAATTGTGTCAATAATATCGGTTTGAACTAATTGTACCCCGAGCATTTTCAAAAGTAAAAAGAAAATACGTGATTCTGGTCATGATTATGCATAAAATATAACTCTCATAGTCTTCTCGGTTTTTTTTATCTACAAGGATTTTGAAAACCACTTGAAGTTGATACAGTATTGAAGTGTAATTGTTAATGCAAAAATATTATATTGCGTTTAAGATTAAACTTACCGTCTTATCTTCAAGTAGTGGTAGGCGTCACGGAGAGTCATCTTCTGCCATTTGACCAAGTAAGCCAGACAGAGTGTCACTGATCTGGACACTCCGGCGACGCAATGAATCAACACCACCCCTCCGTTTGTGACCACCTTGGACAAAATTTTGAAAGGTCAACAAAAGGATCTTACATGTTAAAATGTTCGATTATTAATCTGATAATACGGAGATGCTGTTAGACTTCCTCGAATCGGAACTATTCCTTATAAGCCATCCGTAGTGCTATTTCCACTTGGTTTTCTAGATTAACTAGTCCAAAAAATCCTATTCTAGTTTTATAGCCAAGAGCGAAAGCCAAAATACTTTGCTTTTTGAGTTACTTTTAATTGCAGAGTCGAGAAGGATTTTAAGGGCAATAAAAAAAAATGCACAATACGAAGTAATTTGAAAAATGCATAGAATTTCCTCTTCGAGCTAAGTTTTCCCAATTAATCATAGAAAATGTCGACCATCTCCCATTGAATGAGTAGTGTCGTCCATCTAAATTTACTAGTAGTTCAGTAATAATGGTTTATCTTAACTTATTTTTAAGAACTAAATATGTAGTTGCAAAATTTTTTCTCACCTCATTAATAAGGTCAGCAACCCTATCCATATAGGGGAGCATATCTGAGTTCGGAGTGTCCAACAGGGGTACGAAATGCCTCGGTACGTAATCTTCGGGCGGCGGAGGCAGTTCTGGCGCCGCGCTGACGATCAATCCAGGATGCAAAACCCTGACGGCTCCAGGTAGAGCGTGAGCTCCACACACGTAGACTAGATTCGTGACCCTCGACACGCCCAATGGACAGCCCCTGTTGACAAAATAAAAGCTTAAATACATAAATTTAAAATACCGACTCCAGAAACGCCATTCCTTTAATTGCCATTAACGTATCAATGTTTCCTTAAAAAATAAAAATTTGTTCTGATTAAACGTTATACGACTTACAGCCCTATAGCCCACTGAGTTTCTCGCTGGATCTTCTCAGTGGGTCGCGTTTCCGATCCGGTCGTAGATTCTGCGAAGCACTGCTCTTGCTAGAGTCAGTGTTAGCATCACTCCGGTTTGAGCCCTGTGAGCTCACCTACTAGTTAAGGTTACGCTGCAATAGCCCCTCAAGACTATAAGCTTAGGTAGGGAAAAAAACCAGCCCTTAGTAGCTAAATCGTTAAAGCATATTAAGCTGTTAAGATCCTAACAATAACGAGAAACAATATCCGTTTTAATAATGAATAGATCAAAACAAAACATCAAAGGTTCAGTTAAAAAATTTCACACTTCACGCCAACAATGGGGAAGTTTATGAAATCGATAAAGACGTGTATCATCGTAAACAGAAGGCGAGAACGCTGCAGAATCGAAGTATTCTGTCGTACAACAAACGGAGCGCGGCACGTAAACACGAAATTCCTTCAAGTTGTGTCATCCTGGCTTCGTGCCAGGGCGGGCTGATCTAGCCGGGACACTCAGCCTACGTATGCCCATTGTGCTCGCATAATTTATTAGGCAAGTAGTCAATGATTCGCCAAAAATGCACCTAATTAAAACGATGAAGGTCAACACATTTATTTTATTGGGTGAATACAATACGACATTCTGTACCGTTTAGTTTGCAAGTATTTTTTAATTTTTTTTATTGCTTAAACGGGTGGACGAGACCACAGCCCACCTGGTGTTAAGTGGTTACTGGAGCCCATAGACATCTGCAGTGCAAATGCGCCACCAACCTTGAAATATAAGTTCTAAGGTCTCAGTATAGTTACAACGGCTGCCCCGCCCTTCAAACCGAAACGCATTACTGCTTCACGGCAGGAATAGGCGGGGCGGTGGTACCTACCCGTGCGGACTCACAAGAGGTCCTACCACCAGTTAAGTAAATTTTATTATTGTATTTTAAAAAAGCGATTGTTTTCATATATATTATCAATGTGCGTAGATAATTTATGTAAGAAACAATTTAAAGAAAAATCGTTTTCAAGGTAACGATTGTGGATGTAAGTAGTTTTGGCTAATTTCTTTGTCAAGCTAACGATCTGACTAGAGAATAGTTAATACGCGAATGAATGTCACCCCAGAGACCAGCAACCGTGCGTACAATCCACTTGGGTTCAAGTGCTCACAGGAGTACATAAGAAAAAGACGACGTGGCTGCCGCCTCCTTGAGACGTTATGGCGAAATCTGAATTATATACAACGAATGCTTCAACCAAGGACGCGTAGTTGGCTTGCGGCAAAAATAGGCGGTGCCGTCGTATTCATACGAGATTTGATGAAATGAAATCGTATTTCCAAAATAAGCAAATATTAGCTGTCACTTACTAAAATCTTAACACCAAAAAAGTTAACACAAAACAATGTAATCATTACATTTGTTGACCACATTTCGAGTGCCACTTCAAATAAATATGTGATCTACAAGGTAATAGCAAACTTCATAAGGAAAATACAAAAGTTTCAAACTAAAGCTAAAGTAAGCTAAATATAAAACTAAAGTAAATATACGTTGAGAGGCTTTATATAAAATTATTGATTGTTTAATAGATTAATTGTTAAACGAAAATTATAATATAAAACCCGAAGTAATTAAGTTGAACCCCGTAATAAGAATTTCTGAAGTTGATGACTAGTCAGGCCTATATCAACCTATCCTAATAACTGATCTGAAAGTAAGAAAGGCAAAATGTTGTTTGCTTTTACAAATGTTTGCTTTTACAACCATTTTCTTATTATTCTTCATTTAAAAATGAATATTTTGATTACATATTTTGAGTAGCTTTACTGATTAGTCAATAGACACTTTTCTTCCTATTTGAGTACAAACACACACAGCGGAAACGACAGATTAGTCAATAGACAGACACTTTTCTCCATATTTGAGTACAAACACACACACCACAAACGTCAATGATTAAAATTAAATATTTTTTAACTTTTAAAGGAATAACATAAAAAAATAGCTTAATTTTTTTTTACAGGAAATTATTTTTTATTCACCTGTTCAATTCTTCTCTAATTAACTTTTGCGTGTCGACCACAACGGTGGGCTCATTCTCTCGACCGACACTAGCAACTTTGTCTCCAACAGTTAAAACTTTCATCGCTACAGTGATTCACTTCTATGTTTAATCAGAAACAACTCCACTGCCTCGGAAAACCACAAAATAATTCGTTTGGAATTTAATGTTTTTTTTTTCTTTCTCGTGTGTAATTTCGTTACGCTAATAAGTCGGGTGTGTCGGATGCGTACGCGCGAACCGTCGGCTGAATTCGCACTGACACTGGGAGAGAAACGTTCAGTTAGAGAGCATCGAGTGTAAGAATGCTGTGAGTCCTCACTCCTGGCTACCTGTGCCTACATCGCGACGGCGGTCGGCTGCAATATCCGGCATTCCACGGGCTATTCTCGTACCGAGACACGTACTTTGTTTACGATCCGAGCTTCTGTATCCGGACATAATAAAGCATAAACGAACTATTCTTAATTTTCCCTCGATCCAGATTATCCAATAAACAGCATGCATCACCGAAGCGTTTTATCATGTTTTCACGAATTGCATAATCTCGTAGATAGTTCTACAATTAAATTTCTTTCTTGTTTTAATTAATTAAAATCACTAAATACATTTTGTTGTTGGTTTTCGAACGATTACTGGCGTTAGGACCTCTTGGGAGTCCGCACGGGTAGGTACCACCACCCTGCTTATTTCTGCCATGAAGCAGTAAAGCGTTTCGGTTTGAAGGGTTTGGGGCAGCCGTTGTAACTATACTGAGACCTTAGAACTTATATCTCAAGGGGGTGGCGCATTTACGTGGTAGATGTCTATGGGCTCCAGTAACCACTTAACACCAGGTGGGCTGTGAGCTCGTCCACCCATATAAGCAAAAAAAAAACCAAATCAACCTCAATTTCATTTTCCAGCTTATTGAGCAGCATTCCCGTGTTACTACACATTTGTACTTAATAATAATTATAGAATATTGAAACGGAAGGCAAGTATGAATACAAACTATAGTCTTGATTCTCCAATTTCAAAATACTTGAAATAATCTCGTATGATTTCAAAAGTCTCACCTGTAAACTGAATTAAACCATAAATTTCTGTTAAATAACCATTGTGAGATCGGTGCCAACACTTCCTGTTGCCTTGATATTTAAGATTTTATCACTCTGTCTCTGTGGTTAATTCAGTCTTTCTGAATTCGTCGAGGGGCTACTATCAAAACCGTTTTTTGATTTACAATTCAAATTTCTAGTTGTATGGGACTTTGATAATATTGTGAATACTTGTGATATTGTGAATACTTTTAATTGTTGAAATTAATCTGCAACTATAACGTTTTGTTTTATAAAAAAAATATCACATTTCCTTATTATCTTTTTTTTTACTATTTTTCTTAAATTTTATATTCATTTATATTATATTTTTTATATTTTTATTTTTTCATTTATCTTATTTTTCCGTTGGCATTATGGATATTTCGATACATTTGACATTCCTCTTATCGGTGAGAAGCTTAACATGGGAAATGTTCTTTACGCATTATTTTAGAAGTTAAGTCTTTTGGGGGCTCTTAGCACGGTCTCTATCCACATAGGTCTAAATAGGAAGATGCTACCTTTTTCGGTAGGCAGTGGCTTGGCTCTGCCCCTGGCATTGCTGAAGTCCATGGGCGACGGTAACCACTCACCATCAGGTGGGCCGTATGCTCGTCTGCCTACAAGGGCAATAAAAAAAAACATTATTATACGAATCTAAACTTGGTTGTAGCCAACCAAGCCAAATAAATAATAATACCTTAGGTCACCGGAAACTAGCAATTCTTACCAGTAAAATGATCTTATTAGAAAGTATCATTGAAGTGATGTATTTATCCCCTCAAAGAAAAATTCAGTTCATTATTTAGAATTAGAATTAGAATATTTTTTTCCTTTTTTTGCTCAGATGTGTGGACAAGCTCACAGGCCACCTGGTGTTAAGTGGTTACTGGAGCCCATAGACATCTACAACGTAAATGCTCCACCCACCTTGAGATATAAGTTCTAAGATCTCAGTATGGTTACAACGGCTGCCCTACTCTACAAGCCGAAACGCATTACTGCTTCACGGCAGAAATAGGCAGGGCGGTAGTACCTACCCGCGCCAACTCACAAGAGGTCCTACCACCAGTAAAGACTGACTATTCCGTGACGCTTCGCTTCATTTAATCTTGTTAATTCCTTCGATCCACCATTCCATGAATTTACGGAAAATTTATTGACCAACTACTGTATGTAATCTGTGCAGTGAAATTATAGGTACGATGATAATAACTTTTTTTTTTTTTTTTTTGTTGCCCTTGTAGGCAGACGAGCATACGGCCCACCTGATGGTGAGTGGTTACCGTCGCCCATGGACTTCAGCAATGCCAGGGGCAGAGCCAAGCCGCTGCCTACCGTTTAATACTCTCCACAAGCCTCGTTTGAAGAAGGACATGTCATAGCGCTCGGGAAACACCGTGGAGGGGAGCTCATTCCATAGCCGGATGGTACGTGGCAAAAAAGACCTCTGGAAACGCACTGTGGATGACCGCAGTGGCTCCAGGTAGTATGGATGAACTCTACTCCGGTGGCGGGCGGTGCGATGGTAAAAACGAGATGCCGGTATCATCTCGAACAATTCCTCAGAGCACTCCCCATGGAACATACGGTACAAAATACAGAGGGAACCGAAGTCCCTCCGCAGACCCAGAGGCTCCAAACGATCCGTGAGAATGGGATTATCGACAATCCGAACGGCCCTCCTCTGTATGGAGTCAAATGGAAGAAGCTGGTATTTGGGAGCCCCGGCCCAGAGATGGGAGCAGTACTCCACGCGAGGCCGGACTTGTGCTTTATAAAGCAAAAGCCTTTGTCCAGGCGTGAAGTACCGCTTCGCTCTGTTGAGGACTCCCAGCATTTTGGACGCCAACTTGGCTTTGCCTTCCAGATGACTCCGAAACTGGACATCGCTCGAAATCTCGACCCCAAGTATCCCAATACTCTCGGAAGGTTGCAGGGATACTCCTTGGAATTGCGGCGCCATGACAAAGGGGTCCTTCTTCGCAGTGAACGCGCAAACTTGTGTCTTTATCGGGTAACTGAAACTAGTCCGTGATATGTACTTAGAAAAATGGAAGAGCATTAATATAACACTAGTGACATAATCACACGGTTTCCATAATAACCCCACTACAATATCAAAATTAGAACAGGTTTGAATTCCTAAGCAAAAATCTCTTTTTATTTATTTATTTAAAGTGAATGTTTGAAGTCTAGACTAGATTGTAAAAAATGATTTAAGATGATTTTAATAGCAACTGCATCGTCGGAAGAAATTCGTCTTGTGTAACTAAACGTTTTTTTTCTCCTACCTACGCCAAAAGTTTGGTTTTCCTCCCGCTGTACGGGAAAGAAAGTGTAACTTTTCCTTCCTGGGTACTGACAAGTGCGCAAGCGCGTTAGTGTCTACGTCTGCTCTGACGCACCTAAAATTCTCCGCCATTGTTGTGCTCGGGTAATTTGCAATATTGTGTTTAGTGTAAAAGTGAAATAAACAAAAGGCAATAAAATTTAATAGTGAAGTATTAAACAAAGATGAGTTCATCAGACAGTTCTTATTCAATTAGTAGTAGTTTATTTAAAAATTAAAAAACAGTTAAATTGTTTTTTTATGAGAATGGGGGGGGGGCTCCGCCCCTCTTACCCCCCACCAGGGCTTCGCTCCTGGACCCCGGCTCGATACTACACGAACTTTCGGCCTGGTAGGAGAAAAAATAGTATGTGCACCGCGGGAAAAAAGTAGGCACATTTGTGTGCCTACTTTTCTCCCTTTATGCACAATGTACTATTCTAATGAGCCATTAGTCTATTGAGACTCTGACCTCAAGGTGCATTGCACATTATATCGAAAAGTAAGAGGCTATTTCGTTTAAGCGGCTTAAGCTCAAAAATAGAAGAAGCCACTGAGTTTCTCGCCGGGTCATCTCAGAGGATCGCGACTCCGATCCGGTAGTAGATTCAGCGAAGCACTGCTCTTGCTAGAGCTAGTGTTAGCAATTCTTTCAGGTTAAGGCCATGAGCTCACCTACCGGTCCACGCGAATTTGGAACAGCCCCATAGACTACCAATGATTAGGTAGGGAAAAAAACCTGGTGCAAAGAACACAAAAAAGAAAATATCATCACAGAAGTCACCTCTAGGCGAAGGTGACCTCGAATTTTTTTTTTTGACAGAGAGGCTTGTAATTCCATCGACCGGTGCGAGCTGAATACCTCCTACCACCAGCATTACTACAGGAATATATGAATTTTGCGTATTCAATACTGGTGGTAGGACCTCTTGTGAGTCCGCGCGGGTGTGGTGGTGTGAAGCAGTAAGCCGTTGTAACTATACTTGAGACCTTAGAACTTATATCTCAAGGTGGGTGGCGCATTTACGTTGTAGATGTCTATGGGCTCCAGTAACCACTTAACATCAGGTGGGCTGTGAGCTCGTCCACCCATGTAAGCAATAAAAAAAAAAGCCATCGAACAGTGCGGGCTCAATGCGTTCTACCACCAGCGACTTCAGAAATATATGAATTTTGAGTCCTTAATTTTTATTACACGTTTTATCCCTTCATCACCGAAAATTGCTTTATTATATCCATATTGACCCAGTGGATAGATGTTTAAGAAACTACTACTGAACATATGCGACGCGAACCACGTGAGCTTAGATTACAATACTTAATGCGATATTATTGTGACAGTTATCAGCAAATAACATAATGTATGCTTAACCATAATACACATAAATTAATTATAGATAAGCAACTCAAACACTCAACAAAAATGTTTACGGGCGTCGGCCACTAGACGGCTTCGCTTCGATGAGTTTCTCATTGCTCCTGTAGATGGCAGTAACATATTACCTATCCTATATTTTATTTTTAAATGAAGGATATTGTAAAATTTCAGAAATCTCAAATTGATGCCGCCCTGCCTATTTATGCCATGAAGCAGTAATGCGTTTCGGTTTGAAGGTTGGGGCAGCCGTTGTAACTATACTTGAGACCTTAGTACTTATATCTCAAGGTGGGTGGTGCATTTACGTTGTGGATGTCTATGGGCTCCAGTAACCGATTAACATTAAAAAAAATTTTTAATCAATTTGTCTCTATAACAAATAACGACTTGTATGATTTTTTTTTTATGTTTAGTTATACAATAATTCATTACCTTAACTTTAACAACATATAAGTTTAGGGGCGTCCGCTACAAGATGTCGCTAGTTTCCATACAAAAAATATGTTTGTCAAGTAAAGTAACGCAGTTCTAGGGCTCTGTGTTTAACTGTATCCGTACAGTTTGCATAAATACTCCACGTCACAATCGATAACATTCAATTTTATTTAACAACGAAAACTAGTTTAAGTCGTACTTAAAGCCATTTTCGTGGTTTAATCTAATGTTTATTATTTACATTTTAATTATTTCCAACGTTTTAAATACTCTACAGTTTTCGTGGTCGCGAACGATTCTGAAACCGAAAAAAACACCGAAAGCGGTGAAAACTAAGGATATAATAAATAAATAGAGATAACAAATAAATAGAATAAATAAATAGGAAGAGATTTCTTAAAGAAATAAGCAGTGCCTTTGTACATAATTTTCCTATTACTCTGTACTATGTCTTGTTTTCTGTGTGTACATAAATAAATAAATAAAATAAAATAAATAAATTAATATTTACTAACAATCACGCCACGTTAACTGGTCCCGTGATAAGTTCGTAAAGAACTTGTGTTACAGGTACCAGATAACGGAAATAAATGTAAGATTTTTATTATACACATACATATATTTAATATATATCCATAACCCTTGAAAAGACATTTATATTTATCATATAAATAATAAATAAATATTTTATTAACAATCACGCCACGTTAACTGGTCCCGTGATAAGTTCGTAAAGAACTTGTGTTACAGGTACCAGATAACGGAAATAAATGTAAGATTTTTATTATACACATACATATATTTAATATATATCCATAACCCTGGGAAAGACATTTATATTGATCATACAAATATCTTCTCATGGCGGGATTCGAACCCGCGACCCCCTTGTGTAGTGACTATGCCACTTACCACTTCACCAGACGGCCGTATTACTACTTAATAGAATAGATCTAGACTAATTTATATGTATAATAGCTGCAATTGAACTTATCGATGTTATCACATAAAATTTCACTCGATTTACACACAATAGTACGATTGCGAACCGATGTAATTGCTTTAATGACCGTTCTCCATTAGATCACATGTAATGAGGAAGAATTGCTAGTCTCTAAAATCAACAAATGATTATAAATTTATTACTATACTCAATATATGTTGAAGTATGTTCCTATATTGATCAAATTACTTTATTGTGGGATATGGATAAATTCTTTTTACGATTATAACTATGCAATTATTTTATTGATTAGATAGGTGGACGTGCTCACAACCCACCTATTGTTAAGTGATTACTGGAGCCCATAGACATCTACAACGTAGATGCGCCACCCACCTTGAGACATAAGTTCTAAGGTCTCAGGTATAGTTACAACGGCTACCCCACCCTTCAAACCGAAACGCACTACTGCTTCACGGCAGAAATGAGCAAGGTGATGTTACCTACCCGCGCGGCCTCTCTATTATAATTTTGCGGGTTTGATTTTTATTACACGACGTTATTCCTTCACCGTGGAAGTCAATCGTGAACATTTGTTGAGTACATATTTCATTAGAAAAATTGGTATCCGCCTGAGATTCGAACACCGGTGTATCGCTCAACACGAATGCACCGGACGTCTTATCCTTTAGGCCACGACGACTAAATGAATATATAATTATGGAAAGAAGACGTCAAAATCGACAAAAACAAAGTATAGGAAGTCAAACAGACACAAAATTTCTACTCGTTTTGTTTTAGATACTGTTGCGGTGTGACAAAATATATTTGTTTGTGCACTAGACCTGGTACGCTTGAGGGCTTTGTGACAGAAACAAGCTAGATGGTGATACCTACCCCTGCGAGCTCACAATACTCCATCTATCAGAAATGAACACATCTAAACTTTTTTTTTTTATGATTGAAAGATTACTGGTGGCCCGGAGGCCTTTCCAGCTTCACCAGGACAGGTGGGCGAGCAAAGGCTCAGCCAGGAGGGGTTGGATTTGCTAACAACTGCCCGAGCGCCTCCGAAGGAGGCCTAACAACTCAAGAGCAATTGCTTCGCGAATGAATCTACTACCGGATCGGAAACGTCTAACCACGTCACACGCATAGATACCACACCAGATGAATATGCCCACAAGTTACATTAATAATACTCGCACTGGGGTTATAATTATTTTAATTCTGTTCTTTTCATAATCACTTTCTTTCTTTAATCAACAACGGTAGACCTCCTTCGACTCCTTGGACTACATTTTGTGTGTGCTTGACTCTTAGTTTACGAACTGTGCTGGGAGCTGGTTCCACTGAGAATTTGTGCAAGATGGCCGCCAGTCCCGCCAACGACTGCATTTCACCTAGACGAGCGCCTGAAGTATAGAAATACCAGTTTTTAATTATTTGTATAGAATGTCGACGCTTACTTTGAGATTTGAGATCACAGTCTTTAGGTGTGTAATTTTTTTTATTGCCCTTGTAGGTAAACGAGCATACGGCCCACCTGATGGTAAGTAGTTACCGTCGCCCATGGACTTCAGCAATGCCAGGGGCAGAGCCAAGCCGCTGCCTACTGTTAAGTACTCTCCACAAGCCTCGTTTGAAGGATATGTCATAGCACTCGGGAAACACCGCGAAGGAGAGCTCATTCCAAAGCCGGAACACACAATAGAAACAACAACAACAGAACCCAATATATTTGACAGATGCCTGAATCTCCCTTACAACGTTTTCAAGATAAGCTTGCATATTTACAAGTTCCGAACAAAAACATTTGGACCGTCGGTCTACCGAGTAATTGCCCGCTCGGCAGAAGATCTTCCCTTTGTCGTAAACTTACAAGCACATATGAGGCCATATTTTTTGCCAGCGGTAGTTGAACCCTGTTACAGCCGCGTCACTCGATACGCTACGTTTACGTCAGGTAGAAAAACTCACTAATTAGGTCGCGGTGTTAATTCCAGAACCATTTATATAAAACGAAATCATACAGCGCATTGAAGATAAATACATAATCTCAGGATAGTAGGGCGGTTAGTATGATGGCTTGTCCCATCGGAAAATGACGCAGACCATAAGTTTCTTAAAAAAATAATACATAACTTATAGAAGGTACCCACCTATACAGTTCCTAGGTCCAGCTCCGAACGGTAAAAACGAAAACTTTTTAATCTCCGAATCTTTAGCGAACCGCTTCGGACGAAATTCGCTGGGATCGTCGAAGTATTTCGCGTCGTTCTGTATAGCTTGCGCGGGAATTATGATTCTCACGCCAGGATCTATGGTAATACCTAATTCTGGTATAGTATATGATCTCGTGCAAACTCTATGCAAGTTTCCAAGGGACGGGAACATTCTCAACGCCTCTTTAAAGGCCATTGTTAACAAGGGCATCTCCAATATGGCATCATAACACAATTTGTTATCGTGCCTCGATAATACCTCGTCTATTTCGCATTGAATTTCTTTTTGTATTTCCTGGTGGAAGGCGAGTTGGTGTAAAGTGTAGCTGGTCGCCGACGAAGAAGTCTCAAATCCAGCCGCAAAAAACACAAACATCTGAGCCACAATAGATTTAGTATCCATTTCAAGTTGCACCTGAACAGGGGTGCCGTCAGCGTTGAATCTGTCTATAGATTCTCCCTCAATGACCCCTTTCTGTTTCAATTCCAGAAGCAGGTCAACGAAGTCGTTTCTCCCGCAAGGCTTCCCGTTCCTCTGATCCCGAATTTTTTCATAAATCTCCGTAATAGTGGCTTCAACCGAGCTACCTGGCAGGCGCAAGTATTTCCTCAGCTCCGGTAACAGATCCCACAGGCCAATAGCTACTAAACTCAAACCCTGTCGCGTGAAAATTAATCTTCCTAATTCTCTAAACAGCGAACATTCATTGTTGATGGTATCCATTTGGATTCCAAATCCACAAGCGCCTATGAANATTTTTTCATAAATCTCCGTAATAGTGGCTTCAACCGAGCTACCTGGCAGGCGCAAGTATTTCCTCAGCTCCGGTAACAGATCCCACAGGCCAATAGCTACTAAACTCAAACCCTGTCGCGTGAAAATTAATCTTCCTAATTCTCTAAACAGCGAACATTCATTGTTGATGGTATCCATTTGGATTCCAAATCCACAAGCGCCTATGAACTCTGTAGAGAACCGCGCCATCAGCTCCCTGACGTCACACTCTCCTCCTCGTCCAGCGTACTCACCGGCTACGCTCTTCATCTTCTCGGCGCAGTTAATGACCAGGGGGAACATGGCTTTAAGTTTAGCGGTCGTGAAAGCAGCCGTCAATCTCTTTCGCAATAGTTTCCATGCATCTCCATCGACGTGAAACAAGTTCCGCAGTAAGGGTTCTAGATCTGTATTCCTTCCCAAGCCACGATGGTGGAAATACACGAAATCACCGATTAATATATTTTTAGCGATATCTAAGTCTCTCACTATAAGTTCCGGCTCGGTGCCTCTGTAGTAGCCCACGACTTTTTCATTTGGATACTTATTGTAAAGCTCAACCGACAATTCAATTATACTTTTAAGACCGAAGACGTTGCGAAAATGGTTTCCGAAGAACGGTACCGGTGGATCATGACGTACTCCCCTCTTCGCCCAGTAATTATGATTTCGTGTCGTGTATAAATAAATTACAATACTAAATATTAACAACAAAGCTAAGAGCAACATGGTGTCGAGGACGTGTGAGCTCAGACTGAAAGTACTGATATTGATGTAGCGTATTAAATAGTTTCGCGTGTGAGATCAAGGTCCATTATAAAACCTGTTATGCCGTCAATTGTCGGGTACAGTCGTATTGACTGATAAAGCGTATAAACTAGCGTATCTAAAGCGACTATTTGTACTTTTACAAGTAAATCAAATACTTGAATATAATATAAAAGAAATTGAAAAATTAAAACACACTTGAAATAACATTTAAATGTAAATTTTATTACAAAATAAACAAAATTTTTTGTAGATAAAGATTGTATTATACGATTTGTAGTTTAAATTTAATTATAGAAGTATTATTTTGCTCTAACTATTCTTGAGACCTTAGAACGTATATCTTAAGCTGGGTGGCGCATTTACGTTGTAGATGTCTATGGGCTCCGATAACCACCTAACATCAGGTGGGCTGTGAGCTCGTCCACCCATCTAAGCAATAAAAAAGATCGACAAATAGTTGGATGCTAAAAATGCCCCTTACAATAAATTCGAGCAAAGGTGAGGAATACATTTAGCAATATATTAATATTGTCTTGACGTTTTTATTAGTTCGCAACATTAATGTTCAATCCGGAGATTGAATGAATCGAGGTGGCTAGGACTGCCGCCTTCCTGACTAGCTTGACCACAAACGACGATAACCACTCACCATCACCATCAGATGAGACGTTGTTGCGTTGTGGTGAATGAAAGTGGACTGTATTAGTAATTTGATATTTTTATTAGTTCATAAGTGATAAATTAAAGAATTAAAATTAATGAATAGAAGAAATATGAAATAGATGTGTCGCCGAGATCACGGGGTCAAGCCTGACGATGTTGCTAACACGAACCCTAGCAAAAGCCGTGCTTCGCTNACCATCACCATCAGATGAGACGTTGTTGCGTTGTGGTGAATGAAAGTGGACTGTATTAGTAATTTGATATTTTTATTAGTTCATAAGTGATAAATTAAAGAATTAAAATTAATGAATAGAAGAAATATGAAATAGATGTGTCGCCGAGATCACGGGGTCAAGCCTGACGATGTTGCTAACACGAACCCTAGCAAAAGCCGTGCTTCGCTGAATCTACCACCAGATAGGAAACGCGACCCACTGAGAAGATCTGACGAGAAACTCAGTGTGCTGTGTCTGTGGGTTAGTTTACTCGCAGAGCCCTTCGTCGCAAGCGACGTGTTCGACGAGAACGATGACCGGTGCTTGGGGTACCTACCTAAAAGCATCTATCAGACATACATATACGTTTAAATATATCAAGAATAAACACCCAGACGAATAGCAAACAAATCAGTTCACTAATGCTTGCCCAAATTGGGAATCGAACTCACGACCCTCGGCGCGACAATCAGGGGTGCTAACTATTGCGCCACCGAGTCAGACAATATATGAGAAGAATCTTGTGAAAAGGGTTTATGTCTCTGAATCGTTATGTTCTCTACAATACGTCTAAGTCACGTGCAGTGAATATTATTATCTGACGAATGCAACGACACGTAATGAAACGATTTTAATTGATGCTTAGTAATAAGTAAGGAGAGGAGTTAATAGGATTTGTTCGTTGGTTTCTCGTACTTTAGGCCGAATAGTTTTTTTTTTTAATGTATCCTCGAGTAAAATCCACAGAAATGGCAACGCTGCTCACAAGGGCGTCATTAAAAATGTTACTAGTGCGGCAAATGTTTGAGTTGCTCCCGGGATGCTTATGACGTAGAATTATAACCGTTATGATACGTGTCAATTGGGTCCTAAAGGTTGAAAAAAAATTGATAACTCAAGATAGGTACGCATGTCCTACTAAATGTTTTAATAGTAGATTCTAGTTGTTTTAGAAATTTGCCATAGGCCGATATTGGGTAATTATGGGTAATTATTGGTTAATTGGGTAATTAACACATTACTGGTGGTAGGGCCTTTTGTGAGTCCGCGCGGGTGGGTACCACCACCCTGCCTATTTCTGCCGTGAAGCAGTAATGCGTTTCGGTTTGAAGGGTGGGGCAGCCGTTGTAACTATACTTGAGACCTTAGAACTTGTATCTCAAGGTGGGTGGTGCGTTTACGTTGTGGATGTCTATGGGCTCCAGTAACTACTTAACACCAGGTGGGCTGCGAGCTCGTCCACCCATCCAATAAAAAAATAAATAAAAAAAAATTAACAAATCAATACCATCTTAGAAGCACAATGATCTGCGATTTTCAGCTTTATGTTCAAGCGACGAGTGAGCATCACTGATAACTGATTTAAAATCGCGATCAACTAAAACAATTCTTTACCTTACCCATATTCCAATCTTATACTCTTTATCAAAAATACATTTGTGTTAGCTGTCAAAAATGATATTGTCAAAACTCAAATCCCTGTAAATTTTTGATGCCTTTATAATTTTTAAGCAATTTCTGTATATTTATATCAAAATTATCATCATATTATGTCGAATAAAATGAAAGAGCTGTGCTAAGTGTACTCAATAAAATGTCATTTAATTACGTTCAAGTTTATTATGGGCCTTGTAATTCATTTCACACCACGGTTCATAAGCCGCAGAAATTGAGAGGACTCAGAGGTAAAACTTGAATGCTTCCTCTAGATCTTTAGGTTCAGTATTGTTGATATATAAAAGTAGTCTTTTTTTTTAGGTGGGTGGATGATCTCACGGCCCACCTGGTGTTAGGTGATTACCGGAGCCCATAGATATCTTCAACGTAAATGCCGCTATCCACCTTTAGATAATAGTTCTACTAAGGTCTCATATTTACAGTACAACGGGTGCCCCACCCTTCAAACAGACACGCATTACTGTTTCACGGCAGAAATAGGCAGGCTGGTGGTACCTGCCTGTGCGGACTCACAAGACGTCCTACCATCGCGTGATGTACTCCTCTGCACTGCAGCTGTATTCAGCACGCTATATTTTTACTTATATTTTAGACTTTAACATGTTATTTGAAAAACTGTAAAGTCAATATATTTGTTCCTTTTCAACTCCGAAGCGGCTGAGCCGTTTACGATTAAACGTTCACGAAATCTTAAGATCGGCCTAGCGGTTGCTCCTTTGATGTGATAGCAATAGGATTAATGTAAAATCAAATATCGACCAGCGAATCGGCAACCAAACTTATACAAAATCTCATTATTAGTTGTGGAGCCAGTAATTTTAGTAGCGCACTGTTGGTGCCAATCTTCTGGAGTCTTCCTAGTTCTTTCGAGAAGTAATCATCGCTTCTCGTTTACAAATCAGAATGAACTTTATAATTAAGCGGCTTGGGTGCACAAGAAATCGACAAGACCAAAATTTCTTTGTGCGATGTCAGCCATTGTCGATCAGACGAACCGAGAGCGCGAGAGTCTGTGGCCTTAGACACTGAAGTGTCCTATAAGTTTTCCGCTATAATATTCAGGCAGTATCTATACAGTTATCAATACTTATAACGCACCACACAATTATAAAGTACTAGAGGTACCGCAGTAGTCGAAATTCGACTATAATTAATTGGAATTAAGTTTGTACACTATTATGATTGTATTTTATACTTCTATAATCACAAATTTCGCCAAGAACTACACTATAAAAAATATTAACAAAGAGAAACAATATTTAATCTCAATTTGACAACAGACGTCAAGAACAAAAGTTTGACAATATGCATGCGTGTGTGCGTCAAATACATGGAATGTAGTGTGTGTAATGTTTTCTTTATTGATTTAATGTATCTTTTATGCTATATTTAAAAAAAATATTAGCATTGTGCACTTCTTCTCTATATTCTCTATAAGTGTGGAAAATTTCATACTCCTCCGTCCGCGCAATTTTCGTAAAAAGGGATACAAAGTTTTTGCTTCACGTATTAATATATAGATATTTCCGAACAGATCGCTTACAGAAGCTCGGCTTCAGGGTGGACTTGGTTCCTGTCGAATACATAAATTATTGTGTCCTTGAAATGTGCGGTCATGAGGTAAACATGAATTTAATTCCCATTTATTTTAACTATATTGTAACAAAATTAAGTACATATGTAAGTATAAGAGGTTTTTTTTCATTGCTTAGGTGGGTGGACGAGCTCACAGCCGACCTGGTGTTAAGTAGTTACTGGAGCCCATAGACATCTACAACGTAAATGCGCCACCCACCTTGAGATATAAGTTCTAAGGGTCTCAGTATAGTTACAACCGCTGCCCCACCCTTCAAACCGAAATGCATTACTGCTTTACGGCAGAAATAGGCAGGGTGGTGGTACCTATCCGCGCGGACTCTCAAGAGGTCCTACCACCAGTAATTACGCAAATTATAATTTTGCGGGTTTGATTTTTTTATTACACGATGTTATTCCCTCACCGTGGAAGTCAATCGTGAACATTTGTTGAGTACGTATTTCATTAGAAACATTGGTACCCGCCTGAGATTCGAACACCGGTGCATCGCTCAACACGAATGCACCGGACGTCTTATCGCTTAGGCCACGACGACTTCGAAGTTAAGGCATAGTTTCCGAAAATAGATACGAATAAAGTTAAACAGTTTGAAATCGTCGAGGCTTAAAGGATAAGACGCTCGGTGCATTGGTACCGGGTGATGCGACCGTGCCGGTGTTCGCATCCCGCAATCCCAAAATACGTAGTTAGCAAATGTTCCGGAATGACTTCAATAGTGAAAAATGTCGCAATGAAGATAAATCCCACAAAAACTGTAATTTGCGTAATTTTTGGTGACCGCGCATCATCTAATATCTCGCATTATCATATAATTAAACAGATATTTCGCTGCAACATTCAAAACCTACTCTTCAATATGCCGCACACCACGGATCCTGTCTGCAATCGCGCTGTACAAGCCGTTGTCGAGTCATCGGCGAAGTTCAAGAGAGCACGGAGTTACCTCTGGTTCTGGAGGCTCATCCAGGAACAGATCTTCTTAAGGAACGAATACACACCGAGGGATCATTGGCCTTTTGAATACGAGGCCAAAAATTTTGCAGGATGTTTGGACTGCGTCAACTGTTGCGGCATCGATACGGCAACTATCTAGTCATACATATTCTATATCGTAGATACGTGTATACCCGAAATAAATCATTCACCATATCCTTCGACAGTCAATGATCACGTTCTTACGGATCCATCAGATCCAATATTCTTGTATTAGACGCCTTCAGTTCTAAAGCTAGGAGCAAGCTTAGAGACCCGATTACCCTGATCATCGAACTCGGCAAAGAGTTCGACGTGCAACCTAACCCATCCATCAGCCCGTTGACTTTCTCCCCGGATCTTCTCAGCGATTCCGATCCGGTAGTAGATTAATTTAGGAGCTACTCTTGAGTTGTTAGGTCTCCCTTGGAGGCGCTCGGGTGGCTATTAGCAAATTCCACCGGTCCTGGCTGAGCCCTTGCTCGCCCACCTGTCCTTGTTAAACTGGAAAGGCCGCAGGGCCACCAGTAATTCTTCATTCATAAAAAAAGAGGTAATGATACTATTTTCTAGGGTACGCATTAGTTTTCCTATGTATTTTCTGAGTGAATAGTTATTTGTTTTAACCCATAGACACAGCCCACTGAGTTTCTCGCCGGATCTTGTGGGTCGCATTTCCGATCCGGTGGTAGATTCTGCGAAGCACGGCTCTTGCTAGGTAGAGTCCCTTGAGCTCACCTACTCGTTTTGAGAATCTAGCATGACCCCTCGATCTCTAGAATAGGTAGGATAAAAAAAAGTTGTTTATTCGCATGAAAACATAACCAATTATAGGTATACTACGTACGTAAATACACATGTATTGACGTTTAGTTCCGCATTATTTTTCATTGGATGCAAGATAATATTAATATTATATGAGCGGTTCTCAGCGCGACTACATTGCTGCTACTGGCAAGTGCGACTTTTTTAATTATTATAGTTTTTGGTTAGTGCCAAATTGTATAAACATATCATTGACTCGGGCAAACTAACAATATCAGTAGCCGGGTACAGCTGCGTTTCATTGTTTGTAATCTACCGTTGGGTTCCAAAGCATAGGTACTTAAATGTAACACACTCGGATGACCATGATTTTACACAAGATTTCCGGTAACAAATAGTGAAGTTTTATATGGTTCAAACTCCTATTTACAATCTACAAGATAGATAGTCTAGACTCGAGCATTGCCAGTTTACTTAGTTTATTTTTGGTTGTTTATAGAATTTGCATCAAAATCAGATTGGTAGCTTCTGAGACTAGCGCATTCAAATCGTCGGCCGAGTAGTCGGTGAGAAGTTTTTTTTTTATCTGTGTGCGCGTAACTTAAACCTAGTGTACCCAATGAATCTTGCGACGTCTAAGTCGTTTGTGGCAACGAGAACTGCAACTTATACGAAACCTCGAATGAAAAAAATAACAATAACAATGGCGGAATTAAACCGTAAAACTAATTTTAATTATATCAGATCGAGACATTAATGAAAATTTGATAATTTGATAAATAGCTTTATTTAATTTACAATCGAATTAATATCGTGCTCTAAATACATACATGGGGGCTTTAACATTAAAACTTAAAAATACACCTAACACCGACGCTAAATAAAAACAACTTAGAGTAGGTATTTTATTGCATGTTTCCATATTGGAAAATTAACAATAATATTTTGATCTTACGTTTTTACGCTTCTCTTTTGAACGACGTTTTGAAAATTTTGACGTTTTGAACTCTGACGTGTGACACTGGTTACAGTTTTATTACAAGCTAAGGAATCTTGAAGCTGAGGCCTACAGAATACCTTTTTGTTAATTATTACGACCTTACATCCGGTAATTTAGTGATGTCCTTTTTAATGAAAACAATAGGCACATTGACATAATTGAACATAGTATTTTAAATCGGTTAAGTTTCCAGCAAAGCAAAGTGTACAAAAAAATTTACACCCTTCAATTAATTTCACCTTTCAATTTCCATTAAAAAAATTTAAGTTTTGTTTTAGTTGATCTGCTGTACGTTTATTATTTATGGAACAATAAAAATCTTTTAACACACTAATTCTCAGACGATCCATTGAAAATGTATTGTAAATCTATTTTAACCACAATGGAACAAACAAAAAAAAAATTTAGTTTGAAAAATTATCGTGAACAATATTAAAGTTCTATACCGATAACTTTAACATTTTTCGTGACAATGTGACAAACTTTATATACAAATACCTATGTATAGTTCCCTATGCCCACATATATGTATGTGTATTGTATTAGCAGTAAAGTTTATTGCTTGTAAATGCTTAATCACTTACGATTAAATATGACTGTTATTGTTTGTGTGTTTTCTGTTGCCGTATCAAACTTTGACACAATAATGATTTAGTTTTAATAAATTTACAACTAGTTATTACCCAAAGCCACAGCAGTAGGTAGTAAACTATTGCCCACAGCCTGTTTGGTCTTACCGATAAACCCTAACCAATCTATACAGATACTGACTATCATAAGTATTTTGTCCTTATATCCTATTACGAAAGAGATGAATATATATTTTTCGACACATATAAGTATGTATTACGTGACACAGACTGACATGAATTGATTTTTTTTTTTAAATTTTGTTGAATATGCAAGGATTTCTTTATTATTCGAGTACAAAAATACGCCTTTCGCATCGACACGTCTCAGTTTTGTTAGGATAACGAATATTATGCGCTCAAATTTGAATTTACGAACTCAAAATTTCGCCATGCTATTAAAATATACAATTGAATTTCGCCAAAAAAGGCTATGGTACTTCAAGTCCCACATTGAGTGCATTCCTCATTACGCAGGCACACATCTATTCAAAACATTCATACGTCAATTAAAAACTAAACGACTACACAAAATGCGATTACTCTTTGTTCCAAATAAGTTTCAATTAGAATTTAAATAATAAAAACATTCCGTTATTGTTGAGACTCATTGTCTCAATAGCATCAACCAATAAATATTAAAAATTATTTTTTATTGTACACAACATAATTTTATTATCTCATATATGATACAACACGAAACTTTAGCTCTAGGTGTTTAAATGTATCGATGTTGGCATAAATCGATTTATCGTGGCACTATCCGGCTAGAAACTTCTATGATGGAAACTGGTTTCTGTCAAATAGCTTTACCCTAATTAAAATTGAATATTTCAGCACAGGTAGTACTCTATAAAAATATAATTCGCAAATTTAAAATAAAACCATCGTTACTTTAATATAGGGTATGTAATTTATAGATTTTTCTTAATGAGAAAAAAAAATAACTCCTAAATGAAAGAAGTGTATGGTCAATATAGCGTTTTAATAAAAATCACCAGTAATTCGATTGAGTCTGGTCTTAACGTTATCCTGAAATGTAAAGGATCTCAATCTCTGAGTTTTGATTGGATTTGTAAGATTTGTTTTTAATGGTGAGTTTTTTATATTCTTTCTTAGATGAATGGAGGACGGCTCACGGCTCACCCGGTGTTAAGCGCATACCGAAGCCCATAAACATTAGCAATATAAACCGCCACCCACCTTCAGGTATAAGTTCTAAGTCACACTTACATATCAAACAACAACAAATCTCAGTTACTACAGTACAACGGCTGCCCCACCCGCCAAAACCGAAACGCATTACTGCTTCACGGCAGAAATAGAAACATGACACACTACCACCAGTTATCTACAACGTAAATGCCGCCACCCACCTTGAGACATGAGTTGTAAGGTCTCACTTTTAACAGTACAACGGCTGCCCCGCCTTTCAAACCGAAACGCATTACTGCTTCACGGCAGAATTAGGCGGGGTGGTGGCACCTACCCGTGCAGACTCACTAGATGTCCTGCCACCAGTTTAATTTTTATTACACGATGTTATTCATCCACCGTGGGAATCAATCGTGAACAATTGTCAATTATGTGAAAAACCTTAAGTATTTAAAACCGCTAAAGCTGTTTAGTTTTTAAAAAAAAGATTTTCCTTAAGACAGATTACATATCAGTCAATCAGAAAAAGAGAACTTCTTATTTACATAATTCAATAAAACTGTTTAAAGTAAGCATTTAAAAAGGAGATTAAAGGCTTTAAGTGTTATTTTCTTAGTATTTTACAGAAAACGCAAATTAAATATTTTATTATTGTTCAATCATTCTAGAATATTCCATATCATTATATTATGTATTTGATTAGAAGAATCGGTATCGGTCTGCGGGATTCGAACACCGGTGCATCGGTCGATACGAATGCACCGGACGTCTTANTAAAGTAAGAATTTAAAAAGGAGATTAAAGGCTTTAAGTGTTATTTTCTTAGTATTTTACAGAAAACGCAAATTAAATATTTTATTATTGTTCAATCATTCTAGAATATTCCATATCATTATATTATGTATTTGATTAGAAGAATCGGTATCGGTCTGCGGGATTCGAACACCGGTGCATCGGTCGATACGAATGCACCGGACGTCTTATCCTTTAGCTCACTATGACTTCATACTTGTCGCTTACTATTCGGGAGTCATCACCGTCTGCCAACTATCCACCGACCTAACTAACGGATAGCTACAAGCGGGCGACACTGAGCTTTGCTCCACGAGCCCCATAATGGTATACCATGAAGGCTCCTCTGAATAAATAAAAAACCGGTGCGCGCGCAAAAGAAGTGAAACTTCTCTTGCAGTGTGCCGTGTTGTGGTTTTCTTCATTTTTATCCTTAAATCAATTTTCTCCTTTTTTTATTGCCCTTGTAAGCAGACGCATACACCCCACATAGAGCATACGGCCTAATTGTGAGTGGTTATCGTCGCCCATGGACTTCAGCAATACCAGGGGCAGAGCCAAGTCCCTGCGTGCCGTCTCTTATAATAGGGAAGGCTGTGTATAAGAGAAACGACCTAGCTCGCTTTGTCCTTTCCCTCTCTCCACGGTCGAGTGGTTCACGAAATCTTCTATTTTCTCTCTTGCTCTTCCTAAGTTACATGTTTTTCTCTAGCCGTAACGAATCTGTCGCGAGTTAAATTTTACTCTCAACGCGCCTAAAGAAGTTTCACTTCAAAAACTAGGCTACGGCTTGGGACGACCACCAACTCTCCATCAGGTCTGTCTACGATGCCAAAAATCAAATTTAACACAAACAACTAATTCAACAACCGAAATCAGCATGGATGATATATTTCATATTAGGACTGTAAAATTGTACTTTTTTATATAATTATAGTCCATATCATATTATAGCACAGCTATTTGAATGCCCAAATATAAGTAAGAAGCCCTTTACTGATATTAAAAGGCCTTATGGACATGTTGCTTATGGACATTGGCAATGTCAGCAACACTCGATTCGCCACTGTTTTCAAATAGCGTTTAACAAATTGCCTTTAATAGAGCTCTCTATCAGGTTTTCAGATTAAGATCAAGAGTCTTCGAGTGTAAGAAGATGAGGGCGTTCTTAACGCGTTATTTTTAGCTCGATCTTTGCAACGGAATTTCTTAACGCAATTATGACTGACAGAACTTGCATATATGAGTCGACTATTATCAAAGCCGACAATGTGACTTTTGGACAATTATTGGTAAATCAGAAAAACGAATTATTGAATTTGTATTCCATTGACAGTCACAAAAGCCTTCTGATCGACATCTTAGATAAATAACAGGTTAAGTTAATATTTTATTTAATGCAGGTTTTGAACCGTATTCTTTGAAGGAGACGATTTTAATCAAATCAATCTGTATTGACATTTCAATAACATTTTTTTGTCCAAATGCACAGATTGCCACCTTTGATAATAGACGACTCATATGCAAACTTATCTTGGAAATGTCGTCAGCGAGATTCAGACATGTGTCAAATATCTTGTGTTCTATGATGAGTACCGCCACAGTTAGAAAGGATTAAATTAGTAACGAATTAGAAACAAATAGAAAATTGAAACCGCGGCGCTGAAATACAACCAGTTGGATTGTATTACAGCGAAACTGGTGTAGGCCATACATGGATTGATATTTCTGCCTATCTCTAAAAGTGGCAAAGATAAGAACCGGTTTTTTTTTTTCAGTGTTTATCAAACTTTTTTTTCTTTCGTAGTTCGCGACATTTATTAGTGTTCTATTTTTTTTTATACTATGTTTTTTCCCTGTACACCCCATTACCGCAAAGCAAGCTTTGGTATAGAACTTGTTTAGCGACTTTAATCAGACATATTTCATGGGCAAGTTTTTGTATGAAGTGACAAAAATGACTGCTTAGTTCCGTGAGTTGTTTCATAATTAGATATTGACAAAAAAAAAACTAATCCAAAAATTCCATGTATCGAACATAACATCTATTTCCAACACATTTATTCTAACTCTATTGTCAATATACATTAAGCTCAATTTTGAACGCACACACAATGTTCGATACAAATTTTAATCGAAATATTCGTACTTGTTTGTGCTTTCAGCTTTGAGTGACACGAGTTTCGATTGAAAACTTTTTTTCGATGGTCTTACCGTTGTCCTTGTTACTGACAGCGACAATGCATCGGCAACGTCGCCTAGTGCAGTTACATCATTCTTGATGATTCTTGAAACCGAAACAATAAAGCACTTTTTGAGTCTTAAAAGCCACAGATTTTATTAGAAAACATTTTCGGTAAAAATCTCATTCAATTTTATATCGACGATTCAATCACATCACTATTCTCGTCGTCGCGGAAGACTAAGGTTTGTAAGCCACATTGTTATAACTTACACTAATTTAGAGAGAGTGAGAGATAGAGACGTTTAGAAATATATTTTCGTAACAAACAAAACATATTTAGCCTCTACAAATAGAAAAATCGATGTTATATTTATCGATATCGAAAAATCGATACGTGCCAGTTCTCATCGAAACTCGCTTACATTAGGGCAGTGTCACATTCAGTCATTTACAAACGCTTCACAGCACGTTACGACACTAATGCAGTTTCAAATCGAGCTGAAAAGTCACTCGATAGTCACACGACAATCATTTCACTAAGCTCTTGATGTGCTGCAGAAACTCGTAGTAGGAGAATGCCGACTCGACTCGGTCGTCCACCAGCCTCTCCAAGAACAGGTGTCTCGACGGGGAATTGTCTCTGTAATTTTACAAAAAAAAACATTTATATTGTATTTTAAATACATACACATAGAGCTTATTTTTAATTCAAACTTTTCGACATAGGTTTACCGCCAAAATTAGCGTCGAACAAAGAGACTGTAACAGTCGAAAATAAGACTCTAACTAAAACATAGATATATATGGTACGAGCGGGTAGTCATACATAAAGCAAGTACGCGTATCATTCAAAATTTTTTGTACTCTTTTAACGAAACTTGCGCGGACGGTGGATAATGAAATTTCCCACACTAAACTTATAGTTTACATAGAGAAGGAATGTAGAACGTTAATTTTTTTTATGCATAAAAAATACATTAATCAATTAAAAAAAACATTACACACACTATCATGTATTTGACACTCACACGCATGCATACTATTTGTTTATTGTCAAAATTTTCTTATTGCTTATAGTAGGTATGTTAGCAAATTAAGAATAGATTAAAAATTGTTTGTCTTTATTAATATCTGTCTATAGGGTAGTCTTGGCGAAATCTGTGATAATAGAAGCCTTTGACAATCGAACCATAATAATGTTCAAGCTTATAATTTCAAATAATTATAGCGTTAGTAGTGATAATTACTTCAATATCAAAATTTCGGAGGCGTAAGGTCTGTCGTCGTTGAGTTTGTCTATGAAGGCGTGCAGCAGCGCGCTGGGCTCGGTGTCGAGGCGCGGCAGGGCGCGGCCCTCGTCGCCGAGCTGCGCATGCGCGGAGACTCCGAACGCGTCGGCCAGGAAGGCGGGCGCGACGCCGTGGCACACGTAGATGATCATGCACTCGCCGTCGTCCAGCAGGTACGCGCCGTTGCTGTTGATCCTGGGAACGGCCGAAGTGAAACTTCTAATGCGACTTCCAACATGGTAGCATTATTATCGTATTCCATCTTCGAGCCGATGAATTGCCAATGTTATGTACGCCATTATTATCACATGCATCAGGCCATAAATTAAATAGTTTAAATTATTTTCAATGTTAAATGTTTGTGATGTGGCAGTACTTTTTTAAATAAATAAATAAAGAAGTGAAACTTATAATTCGACTTCCAAAAAGGTTGCGTTAAACGTTTAACGCTACCGTATTAGACAGAGACAGAGCGAGAGTGAATGCGTGGCACTCGAACGCATGCGCGTAGTATACCTGTTACAGGCCACGCGGGCGTTAGCAACGAGTAGCGTCCAATATTTTAATGAAGTATTTAAAAAAATATATAACATAGTTATTTTTCTATCTATAATTTAAAATATATATAATATAAATGTTAAAGATGTCGCATCAGCATTCCATATTACAAGAGTAATCTGATTGAACGATGAAAAATGAAGAAAACCACAATATTACACATTGAAAAAGAAGTTTCACTTCTTTCACGTACACAAAGTTGCACGCGCACCGTTTTTTCATATTGATACAACAATTCCTTTCTACAACTCGCCACTGACATACATTATATTCTACTTCACAATGCTTCCAGGGGCTATGACATAGCTGTATTGCTGTGCGGATTACGGTCCAAGAGTAGCAGCGATTACCTGGCGATAAGTGGTTACTGGATCCCATAGACATTTACAACGTAAATGCGCCACCCACCTTGAGATATAACTTCTAAGATCCCAGTATAATTACAACGGTTGCCCCAACCCTTTAAACCGAAACGCATTACTGTTTCACGGCAGAAATAGGCAGGGCGGTGATACCTACCCGCACGGACTCACAAGACGTCCTAACACTAATAATTACGCAAATTATAATTTTGCGGGTTTGATTATTATTACACGATGTTATATTCCTTCACCGTGGAAGTCAGTCGTGAACATTTGTCGAGTACGTATGTCATTAGAAAAATTGGTACCCGCCTGCGGGACTCGAACACTGGTGCATCGCTCAACACGAATGTGGACTTCTTATCCTTTAGGCCACGACGACTTTGTACAATATTAGTGGTGCGTGCGAACCTCTCGGCGGACAGGTGCAGGCGCGGGGGGCAAGGCGCGTCGTGCGGGGGGGCCGGGGGGGCGAGCGCGTGCAGCGGGTACAGCGCGGGGTACACGAGCCGCAGCAGCTGCTCCAGCGGCAGGCACTTCAGCGAGCACATGTCGGCCACGCGGTCGTCCAGCCGCGTCGACGTGCCCGTCCTGAACGCTTTCTGTAGACGAAACACGACACGATATTAACGTCACCTTATTTTTTCCTACCTAAGCTGATAGCCTTGAGAGGTTATTTCAGCGTAACCTTAACTATAGTAGAATTATTTTGTCCGTGCAGTTTGGGTCATAAAACATAGCCCGGCTAGGGCGGTGAGCATGTTGCGTGGGCGCAACGCCATTATCGATAAAAACAAATGAGTCATCGAAGGCAGGTACACGGCGACGGGGCGGTATATGAAGGGTGGTGAGACATTGTTATGTTAGAGTCATTTGTTGTACCTACCTGCAAATTATAGTACATATGTCGAAGAGAAATGTGTATTTATGCATTCGTTCTCTGAATTTTTTTTAGTCACACAATGGCTACTCCTTTGTTTTGTACCAAAACGGCAGAATTTATTCAAAATAATATTTTGCGTATTGGCAACAATATGGCAGCACAAGCACGTGTTGTTATCAACAATGTGTTAAAGTTTTCCACTGAAATGAAAATAGATCCCAAAAAGTTACAAAGTGTTAATATCTTCGTTCTCGTTAACTTGCTGCGGCGATATGTGGTGTAAGTGCTGGATTAGTGATTTTTCTTTCATTTTTATCACTAACCCACAAAATGACAAAACTAAACACACTATCGATAACGGCTATCGACAATAATGCGCATCACTATGCCCGTCCATAAGGCCCTTGAGTGGAAGAGAGAAGGAAATACTCACTTCACCGCTCCGATTATTTATGACTTAAACTGCACGGACAACATAATTCAACTATAATAGGTGAGCTCACGGAGCTCAAACCTGACGACGTTGCTAACACGAACCCTAGCAAGAGCCGTGCTTCGCAGAATCTACCACCGGATCGGAAACGCGACCCACTGAGAAAATGCGGCGAGAAACTCAGTAGGCTGTGTCTGTGGGTTAATTTACGAACGATGACCGGTGCTTGAGGTACCTAAAATAGTAGAACACCTTCGACGTTCTCGGTCTACTCTTTGTGCGACTCTTCGTAGCATCCCCACTATATCTACTAAACATTGTCCGCATGCTCCTGTGTAGTGGGGTAGTCAGTATATCTATATCTTATTCATAAGTTTGACTTGTACCGTTGTGACTTGCTTTTTTTTATATTTTTCTTTCATAAATTTAAAAAGCTAGATAAGAGAAGTACATAATTTAACAAAAACTAATGGTCCCTCGGTAGTCGAAATTCGACTATAATTAATTGAAATTATAAGTTTGTACACTATTATGATTCCATTGTCAAAGATTATTATACTCCTATAACCACCGACTTCGCCAAGACTACACTTTAGACAAATATTAAAGACAAACAATATTAAATTTTAATCGCTGGAAGAGATCGTTTTTAGCGATAAGACCGCCAATTGTACAAATGTATTTGCTTTTTGACTGTTTTTTGAATGTAAATTGTGTTTTGGTGTGCAATAAAGTGTATTCTCTCTCTCTCTCTCTCTCTATATTGAGTAGTGTTGTAGTAGTAGGGTGTGTGTGGTACCCGCTTGAGCAGCGCGAGCAGGTAGAGCGGCAGCAGGCGCAGCGCGGCGGGCGCGGGCAGGCCGGGCGCGGCGGCGGGCGCGTTCTGCGCGAGGCGGTGCGCGCTCAGTGCGTCCGCAGCCACGTTGGTCAGCGCCTCGCGCGCCTCCGCCAGCGACGCCGACACGCAACGGTCCACCGCTGGGGAACGTGGGACGCCATCATTTATTTACTGCTTAGATGGGTGGACAGCCCACCTGGTATTAAGTGGTTACTGGAGCCCATAGATATCTACAACGTAAATGCGTCACCCACCTTGAGATCTAAGTTCTAAGGTCTCAAATATAGTTACAACGGCTGCCCCACCCTTCAAATCGAAACGCATCACTGCTTCTCGGCAGAAATAGGCAGGGTGGTGATACCCACCCGCGCAGACTCACAAGAGGTCCTACCACCAGTAAGTGCCAAGAAACTAATATTTTTAAAATATGCAGTGGCTTGTTGATTCTTTAAAAAAATATGTTCGATATTATTAAATATCTATTACTATGAAGCCCTACCCCTGCTTTACAACTACCGTCACAAGCCGCCACGTTGGGCACTAACCCATTTTGCTGACCAGTCCTATGATGCAGTGCTGGTCGGCGGCGTGCAGCACCTCGGGCAGCGTGCTGGCCAGCGGCAGCGCCAGCGTGTGCACCCGTATCCGCCTCTCGCCTGGAAACCAACACAACCTCGTGTACTCACTTGCACCTAAGTGTACTAGAGACTCGGCACACACGTCCAACCAAGTTACACTTGCGACGTCCAAAATGTCATCATCATCATCATTAGCCTTTATCTACCCACTGCTTGACATAGGCCTTCCCCAATGCCTTCTACAGAATGCGGTCCTCCCCCTCCCGCATCCAACGACTTCCCGCCGTGCGCACTAAGTCGTCGGTCCAGCTGGTTGGAGGACGCCCCACGCTCCTTGTACCCATCCGTAGCCTCGATTCGAGGACTTTCCTCCCCCACCTGGCGTCGCTGGCTCGACAGATGTGACCGGCCCATTGTCATCCATAATGTATAAAGTATATAACTTTTTCGTTTATTATTTCAATCAATATATATTCGCACCTTTAAAATTATAAAGAAACAATTAAAAAAAAAGTTTTTTTGGAAAACATCGAATAAAGTTTTCAAATCGAAATGAGGTAGAAGAGGGGGACGGAATGAAAGAGACCGATAGATAAATTTGTCCCTTTATAAGCTACTTTCGGGCATTTAATTATTAATTTTTTTAAGGGAATTTTTAATCTGGTAACTAAGACTAAGTCATTCCTTATTTTAATTTATATTCTTATTTTTATGAAAAATGATAAATGGAGTAAAATAAAATGAAATGAGGATGATTAATTTGAGACATTAATCAACTGGGATGAAATTAAATGAAATGAGATGATATGGGATGAAATATAATCTCAGTAAAATAATAGTCATTTACTGAGATTTTTTTCAGCGGACTTTTTGGAGGATCCCGAGAAGTTACGTCCAGCGGCTTTTTTCATTTTCCCACATTTATGCACTTTCACAGATATTAAACAGTTAATAAATCACCGTTATTATACATTTAAACCTGAAGATACACTAAATAGAAAAAATAAAACAAATCACACAACTTCACTCCTCGCGTTCCCGCCAAAAAGTCCTTTGATTATTAAGAGCCGCTGAATAAGGGTCGTTCTAGGCACATTTCTGAATTAAGTCGAAATAGGTCTTTATAATTCTAAAGGTGCGCTATATTGGTGGTGGTGGGGGTGTGGTGGGGCGCGTACCCTTGCTGCTGGTGTAGAGCAGCGCGGCCTGGAAGCAGACCTGCTGCAGGTCGGACAGCGACTCCTCGATGGTGAGCTGCATGCCGAAACCCACGTCCGGGGACACGTTGGGCAGCGACAACAGGTCCGTGGACCGCACGAAGAAGTTGCCGTGGAACGTGTGTATGGAGATTCCTCTGGAAATGTCAACAGTCAAATTATATATTATTGCATAGATACAGTTGTCTTATTGCACGTGCTGGCGGCCTCCGCATCAAGGGTTGCCGGGGGGTCGCTCCGGGGAATAACNCATGCCGAAACCCACGTCCGGGGACACGTTGGGCAGCGACAACAGGTCCGTGGACCGCACGAAGAAGTTGCCGTGGAACGTGTGTATGGAGATTCCTCTGGAAATGTCAACAGTCAAATTATATATTATTGCATAGATACAGTTGTCTTATTGCACGTGCTGGCGGCCTCCGCATCAAGGGTTGCCGGGGGGTCGCTCCGGGGAATAACATTATAAACTGTAACTGTTTCATTTTTTATTAAGATCCATTCAATTTAGTTGTGGGGAGTGAGGAAATATTTTTTTTTTTTTATGAATGAAAGATTACTGTTGGCCCGGAGGCCTTTCCAGTTGTTTCACCAGGACAGGTGGGCGAGTAAGGGCTCAGCCAGGAGGGGTGGGATTTGCTAACAGCCACCAGAGCGCCTCCGAAGGAGACCTAACAACTCAAGAGCAATTGCTTCGCGAATGAATCTACTACCGGATCGGAATCGCGACCCGCTGAGAAGATCCGGCGAGAAACTCAACGGGCTGATGCTTAGGTTAAGTTGCACGTCGACCCCTTTGTCGAGTTCGACGAGTACGGTTACCGGGGTCCCTCAGCCCGCTCCGAGCAAGTCAACTCGCACATCTCAACACTGGCAGCTGGTTAAGCCACGCCCCCTACAATATGGGGCCGCCGCATCTTATTTGCCAAATTGACAAGATGGCCACGCTTTGACTTATTGTTCTTCGGGCGGAGGACATGTTGAAAGGGGCGGTAGCTTCTACACAAAATTACTATTGATTAATTTTAATTTTTACTATAAATACGATTGTGCCGTAATTGTAAAATAGACCATTAGACCAGGGTCGATAATTTTTAAAACCAAAAAAATAATAGTAGGACAAAACCCATTAGAAAAGGAGGGGAATATTAGGTCATAGAAACATTTTGTTTACGGATGAGAATTTTTTTACAATTGAGCAACATTTTAACAAACAAAATGACCGTATTTATGCTCAAAGCTCTAAGGAAGCTTGCCAATTAGTCGACAGAGTGCAACTAACACATAAACACACTTTAAAAGTAATAAATATTATTTGCAACAGAATTTTTTTTTCCTGTCTCAGTATTTATGGCAAGACTAGGTATATAAAATATATATCGTAAATATATTTTTAATAATTAACTTTTGGCCGATTTTCATATATATTTTATACGTTTCAAATATATTTCAGATATATTCAAAATAGATATTTTAATATTTTTAGCTATGTTTTTATGTCTTTTAAGATATATTTTGAATGTATCTAAAATTATGTTACGTTAAGCATATTATTTTTTAAAGAAAATATTACTATTTTTATGTTCGAGTTGATTGATACAGATAAAAATAGAGATAGTATTTGCCTTCCTATGCCGATTCGAAAAGGTGTTTTTTAAGTAAACTTGTCACAATTATTTTAAAGAAACTCAGCGTGCACGTGTATTATTATAAACGATGTTGTATACTGTACTGTATTTCGAATACTGGCTAGGCTAACGGTTGATACAGCTGCTACGAAATAGTAGGTATGTATGTAGTAAGACCCAGACCCGCCTAGCCCCTTCCCCACTTCTCTATGAAATACCTTTTGATGGGCTAAAATTTTTCGTAGGTCACTCAGGTATATTAGTTATCTAAAAATAGTTATAAATAGGCATCTACGCATATAATTTAAAGAAGATTCGACAACTTTCTCCAAATATTGTATTAATCTTATTGTATTAGTCTTATTAAGTATTAATTTTATTCACTTATTTGTTTGTTATTTATAGTAGTATATTTTGATTTGTACTTTTTTTTATCAATGTAACATGTAATCTTACGTATTTCGAGTAATTAAATTGTAAATTTTAATAAATAGCTCAAAATTGTATATAATAATTTAAAAAAAAATTCGAATTCAAGTTTTTTTCGATATTAATTCCAAATAAGGTGAACAAATTCATATTTCTAATCAAATAAATTACAGCGTATTTGAGACATAAAAACGTAAGTTTTCACCAAAACTCGTTAAAAAAATTTTTTTTTTCTAAAAAGATATAAATAAAAACCAAAAAAATGGTTTTTTTAATTTTTCACATAAATTTTGAGGTTATGTGAAAAAAGTGTAAATACAAAAGTTTTAGATCTTTTTATTACCTACAAGCCTTTATTACCTTTTTTCCATAGGACTTTTAATTTTGCCGGAAATCGAGAAAAACCGTTTTTACCCTTAAACCCAATATCCAGTAGTATATTGTATTAATCATATTTGGGACGTAAATATATTTCAATAGTTAGTAAAAAAAAAACAACCCAACAACCGAGATCGTAATAAGAGATTTTGGCTAAAACTAGATGTGACTACGTTACGTTTCTATTATTAATATTATAATTTTTTTTCTACCTAAGCTAATAAATAGCCTTGAGAGGCTATGTCACCGTAACTTAACAAGTAGGTGAGCTCACGGGGCTCAAACCTGACGACGTTGCTGAGACTAGCCCAAGTAAGAGCCGTGCTTCGCAGAATCTACCACCGGAACGGAAATGCGACCCACTGAGAAGATCCGGCGCCAAAAACTCAGTGGGCTGTGTCTATGGGTTAGTTTACTCGCCGAACCCTTCATCGCAAGCGACGGGTTCGAAGACCGGTGGTTGCGGTGTATTCGAACACTGATCAGAGAGTGGACAGCCTTCTAAGGTGAAAAATAAAAGTCTAAAAAATCTGATCTGTAGACATTTGGCTCTCACCAAATTTACCCAGCGAATGTTCTGATTCAGAAAGCTACACGTTTAATAGTAGTTTAAGAAAATTTACATTCTAGCGGATGATTTTTATTATTTTTTAAGGGTTAGTTTACTCGCCGAGCCCTTCGACGCAAGCAACGGGTTCGACGAGAACGGTAACCGGATAATATATTGTCAAGTTCAAGCACAAGTGAAAATGAGTTCAACAATGCCATCAATAGATGGCGTTGCGCGCATAAGCTGAGTCGCGCTGACGACTTTTGACTCAAACAACTATATAGAATATTGATTGCCAATTTCTGTCATCTCTGGTTTCCCTTCAACACGTATAAATCTTTCGCCTTTTACTAAAGATTTCCGTGGAGGGGAACACTCAAATGAGTCTATAATATTTTTGATGCCACACTTCGGTGTGGCCTATAAACTTTAATAAAGGAATGGGTGGGTGGATGAAATGAAGACAATTCTAGTCAGTTGAAGTACTAGGAGTCTAAAATTACTTATCACACCTCGCACAATTTACAACTAACCTATTGGTAGAGTGCGTGTGAATAATGTGATTTGAGATGGCAAACCGTGATAATAAATTAATAATGTAATAGACTTGCGCCAAACAACACTTCTCAATGTAATGTGATATGACATCACTTTTACAGACAGGTGATATTACTCGAAAACATTACACATCACTCTTAACATTACTCGGTGCGTTCAATAGATACTGTGACGAATACATTGTATCTATACACCCGAATCATTACTTAAGTGATGTGTTTATACTTTGTATTGTAATACACTGTTATATTACTTGACAGAGATTGACTTATTTAATAATATAATAATTTTATTTTTTACATAATATAATTTATTGTGGGATGAACGGATTTCATATGCTGCAAATTGAGCTCGACGATAATGTTAATATACGAGAGCAGTAGACGCATTGTTTCGGCGCGGTCTCCTCAAAATGCATCCAAAGAGGACTGTACTTTCATTTAGACGCCATTCTTTCTTTCACTTATTAAACACGCATTAAAACAAATAATAAAACTATCTTCAAACAAGTGCTTAAGTAATTCAAACACAAAAATTAATATGAAATATTACTAAACAATTACGAGCGACTAGCGATTTTAGAAAAGTTGCGAATAAAAAATTAAGTAACTACTTGCGGGAAACTACCGGCTGGCCGCATGAAAAATATAAACACAAAAAAATGTACCTAGCGGCCAGGGCATACGGTTCAAAATCACTAGGAATAATTCCGTGTCGCTTGCTCATTTAATTTGGTCGATCGGTCTGTCTCGCTCGCT